CCAGTGGGACTGACTACACATACCCCTTTAGTATGTTCTGTGACTCTGCTCATTACCATGCTGTGTGCTACTTTGATCCTTGTAGCTGTTTTCAAATATGGTCATTTCTCCCTATAAGCTTTTGCAGTTAAATGCTTCCCATAAATAAGAATGAGACCTAAATAAGACCTATTCACTTGTGACTAGAAATGTTTATCTAGAGTTATATCATTACTTTTGTTTTTTGTCTTCATTTTTGGCAAAAATTATGTTTACTAGAAGAAATTTTGGGTCATTCTCAACTAATTTGAAAACTTAATGCTGTGTTGTGTACCTTTGATGATCCTTAAGCATCAAGTGCCAGTAGAGGAAACTTAATTCTGTTAAATTACTGTTTATTTTGTGAGAAGTGACTTTGTCTTCATTTGGGTTCGAAAAATGAGTAATTTGTGTATTAGAGACAAATCATTCTCATTTTGTGAATAGGAACATTTAAATTTAAGCTAAAAATTGAGAAAATCATTATAAATAAGAATAAAATAATTTGGATGAATCAGTTTATTTAAATGCTAATTTTATGAGAATATTGAAGTTATTTATCCAGAGAATCAAAGAAAATCATTAAAGTAGAACAGCTAAGCAATTATTAATATCAAAATTGATTATTCTTAAAACATTTCCATTCTTCTATATTTTATACCCTTTTAAATATATGAATTATTACAAAAGGTTTGATGAAACTAAGTACTAAGATTTAGTTCTCATTTAGTACTTAATTTGTCAGGAAGACAATTCAGATTGTCATTTTAAAGAGTATATTTTGTTAAGTTGTACATTTACAAAAAGTCTTTTGTATTTTCAGGTGATTTGCTTTTAAACAGAGATCTTAATTTACTGTTTTTCTTTGGAAAAAAATTAGAAAATAAAGTAAGTGCCATAAGCTAATTAAAAAAATAAAAAGGCAGGCATGCCTTTCTATTTATTTAGGGTAGATATGTTCCAAAACAGAAGCCAGTAAACCAGGATATGTTGGAATTGTTTGTTTTAAATAGAGTAATTGGATATGATACACGTTTACATATGCAATCACTGCTTAATTTTCTAAAATATGTTGTTTTTATGGGAATAAATCTTTTATAATTAGACATCTACGGCTTGACTAGTCATAAAAGTTATTTTTGAAGATGTGTCGGAGAACTTAAATATTGAAAAAGGCAACCCAATGCCATGAAGCAGAAATATTAGACATCTTTAAAGTGACTAAAATTTCAATCCAGTCTAGTTTCATATCTTTAGTGATTTCTTATAAGAAAGAATTCCATGTTTTACAAGCATTGCTTTCACAAGGGAATAATATAATGGCATTGAAATATAATTATGTGTCAGTTAAAATTCAGTAACATCAACAGACAACATTTTAGAATATGGTTAGATTGGTGGGGTTAATATGGTACTGTTTGAGAGAGAGAGATAGAGAGAGAGAGAGAATGAGAGAGAGAATGAATGAATATGAATATATTTTCTTTTGCACATCAGAACCAAATTTTATCAGTATTCAAACAAGTTTCCAAGGTAATATTTGAGATTGTGACACAGAACATGATTTATTTATACAGGTATTCAGAAGTGTAAAAAATGGTTGCAGATGCCGTCACTTTTGACATGACAGAACATTTCTGGTTTTGAACTATTTATATTATCTTCTTTGGATACTTAAAAAATGAATAAGCACTTAATTTTTAAAGATCAGTTTTGTATTTCTGTATGTGGTCTTTTTGTTTTTAGGCTGTAAGACAATGGATACTGTTCTCTTGGGTTATTATGTTCCAGTATTTGTTCCACTTTTATGATTTCTTTTTCTTAAACTATTGTGTTATGTTCTTTTGAATGAAAGTAAGTGACACAGGTTACCTCAACTAAGGGTGAGGGGCAGGTGTGTGTGTGTGTGCACGCATGCGCACGTGCGTGTCACTCCACCAGGAACTTAGATATTGTAGGTAGATTTCATGGTTAATGGTACATACATGATTTGGGAACTGGATACATCTATTGCAGCTCTAATTATTTCTGAAAATAATTAATTTAAGGATTATCCTAGTCAGATATTAAATTAATTTCAAACTACTCATCTATGTTTTGATAATTGATGCTGATTGATATGATATGGAAATAAAGAAATTAGAGTGAGGTGACCAACACCTATCTGTATCGTCCCCCAAACTTACAAATATGCTATTGGCTGTTAGTTCGAATGAAATAATACGGACCAAGTATGCTTTTCAGGATTGTCCTAATCAGTGGTAGGATGGTGGGTTTAGCTATCTACTTGATTTCTTGCATCTTAGTCCTTACTTCTGGAATCACTTTCCTCCTGAAGTACATCTTTTTAAGTAGTTTCTTTAGTAGGTCTGTTGTTGGTAACATGTTTGTTTTTGGTTGATGATATATTTATTTTGCCCTCACTTGTATAGCTGATAATTTAGCAAGGTGTACACTTCTAAGTTTGGTTTTTTTCTCTTGGTACTTTGAAAATATTTTTCCACTGTCAACTGGCACCTATTGTTGCAGTTGAGAAATCTTCAGTGGCTTTAACAATTGTTTATAGGGTACGTCTTTTCTTTCTGGTTGTTTTATCTTTGGTATTCTTTGTTTCACTTTGTTTGAGGTTTCTTTTACTTATACTGATTGGTATACACTTTGCTTCCTGAATCTGAAGGTTCTTGTCTTTAATCAAGTCTGGAAAATTCTTAGCTATTAGCACATACTGCCTGTTTTGTTTTCTTTCTTCTCTCTCCTGGAGTTCTCATTAGGCTTCTGGTAGGCCTTCACAATCTATCCCCATGTCTCTTAATCTTTCTGTCATATTTCCTCTGTCTCTGGGCTGCTCTCAGTAATTTCTTTAGTCCTGTCTTCCAGTTTACTAATTCTGTCTTCAAGTGTGTAATCTGCTATTTAATCCAGACATTGACTGTGGTTTCAATTTTTATATTTTTTATTTCTTGACGTTCTACTTGGTTCCTTTTCGAATCTGTTTGGTCATTTAAAAAAATAGTATCTTGTTTCTTGCTCATTCATGTCTTACATTTTGTTTAATCATTTTAATAAACTTTTTATATTCTGTAACCAATAATTCCAATATCCAAAACTCGTGGGCTTCATTATTCTGTGTGTGGTTTCTATTGAATCACTCATCATAGCTTATTAACTCAGGTGTATTGTAATTATATTTTGGGGGCTCATGTTTAGCTTTTGATATCCTGTTTATCTGTGGAAATCCTTTCAGACCTGGATTGAGAGTAAACCTGTGCAGTGAGGATTTGTATTTGTTTTTCCAGGCCTCCAAATACTACTGGTTTGGGGCCACTTTCTTGACTTGAGGTTTCCTGGGTAGTGTAGGAACTATAAATTTGAACTTTCAAACTCATGTGAAGGAAAGTTTGTGGTTATGAATTCTAAAGGGGATTTTTCCCCCTCCATGTCAAATCCAGGCTAAAACATAGAAAGGTTTGCTTGTCTCCCTGGGTTGGTATAGGGAACTTTTTTTTTCCAGTCTGTTCTTGGAGGATGTAGCCCTTTAAGTTTCCCAGCCTTTTGCAGGATCAGAGTCCTAACTCCATGTACGCGCCAAGGCCTTGTCTTTGGTCCCCTGTCTCCTGAGCAGCCAGTAAAATCAGAGAGATTTCTGAGATAAGTAGATAACCCTCAACACTACTATGGCTTCATTGCCTTGCTTATCACACTGGTTTCTTACTTCCTCTTTGGGTTGAGTGTGGAGTTTGGAACACATCAGAGATCTATTTTTCTTTCTTGGAAACTTAGTTATGCCTTTGAAAGGATGTTCTATTTTATCCAGAATTTGTGTGTTTAATGATGGGACTTTTCCAGGTTATCTAATAGTGTGCCATATTTCTTCTTAATTCCTTTCTCTTGTATTTTCCATATCATTTAAGTTTTTTGCTCTGCATCTTACATAAGCACAATCTGGCTACCTTTCTCCACTTCCATTGCTGTCTCCCTAGTATCAGTCATGATTACTGCCTCCATAGTTCATTTCCCTTCTATTCTTGCGTCTCTATATTCCATTTTCCACATAGCAATCTAGTGATCTTAAAGTGTAAACCAGATAACATCACTTCCCTGCTTAAAACTCTTTACCATGACCTTCAAGATCCTTCCTGACCTGAATCTTTTTTACTGTAATGTTTTCATCCTTGCCCTAAGCTCCAGCTACAAGGCCTTCTTAACTGACCTTAAGGCAAGCCCTTTTCTTCCTCCTTCTGGTTGTAATGCTTTTTCCTGGGTGCTTCTCATAGTTCTCTCTGTTCTTGGCTTAAATGACACCACCTTAAAGATGCCTTCTCTGGTCACCCCATCCAAAGTAACCTCCCCAGTTTTTTCCTCATACCAGACATCATTACTTTAATTATTGTGTTTTCATATTTGTAAGCTCCACGAAGGCAAAGTGACTTGTGTTCACCCTTGTATCCCTGATGCCTTAACAGTATCTGGTACACTCAAATATTTATAGAATTAATGAATACATTGATAACTCCTTCGAGGATAAAACGTGGACGCCTTAATTTGTAAGGAAGTGGGGCTTAATTTAGCAGCAAAATATAGAGTTTGTAGGTGAAAAGCAAAATGGATAATGGATGAATTCCCAGAAACAAATGCCCTAGAGCAGATTCATGTAACAGCAATCATCTGTCAGCATCTTTGGTTAGCACAGACCTGACTGGAGACAATGCTGAATCGAATGAAGGACTGGCTGGCTCTCTCAATACTGTATGAATACCAACAGAGAGGCAGGCAAAGGGGGAGGGAAAGGGAGGCAGTACACATCTCCAAACTACAATTCCCAGCAGACCCCACGCGCGGTCCCGCCCATTGGGAAGCGGTGCCCGTCTCCGCCCCGTGAAGCTCCAGGCTTCGGGCCGGGAGGGGTGGTGTCCTGGCCCCTCCCCTTATTGCTCCCCGCCGTCGCCCTCCCCCAGGGTTGTGGCCACGCGCAGCAGCGGCGGCGGTTGTTCCGCTTCCCCTCCGGTCCGGGCCGTCGCCATTGCCGAAGGCTCCCTGCCCTCCCCTCCCGGCGCCCGCGGGGCTCGGCTGCCGCTCGGCCTAGCGGTAGCAGCCGCTGCGCTACAGCGCGGCTCCTTTTCTCGTTCCGCTTCCCCTTCCGTCTCCTTCCCGCCCCGCGCCGCGCGCCTGCCTCGGGCGACTCCGAAGCCCCCCGGGAGCTTGGACGGAGGCGCCTCGCTGGGGCGGGGACCTTTCCTCGCCTGGGGTAAGTGTGCAGACAGGCCGGGACGCGGGCCATCTCTCTCCTTCCTTCTTCCTTCTCGGCGGCCTGGCAGGCTCGAGCGGCCCGGCGTAGCCGACCTGCCCCAGGGCCGGGGCAGCCGCCACCTGCGTGCCTGCAGCCGCGGCTTCTGGGGCGGTGGCTCATTGTCTGCTCCCTAGGGCTGTTTTCTCCGGTTTTAGCCCGAAATGAAAAGCTTGCTGGGCAGGTGAGGTCTAACTCTTCCTGGACCCAGCCCTTCCCTAAACCGTGTCGTGCCACGGATTCTGCCCTCTCTGTCTGCCTTCCCTTGCGTTTCAACCTCCTCCTTTTCTTTTCTCCGTTTACTTAAGTTTTCGGCCAGACGTCTTAAGTTTTATTTCCCAATTTTTCCTCACTTACTGAGTCCCAGCCCCTCCTTGCCACCCCTCTGTTCATCCCAATTTCACTGCCCAGGCATGTTGTCTCTTTACTCCTTCTAAACTACAATCTGTAATTTTTTCCATATTCTGCATTAGTAAAAACGTATAGTTTTCCTGGGGTTTGAGGGCCTCCACTTAAGAAAAGATCTTTCAGATCTTCTCGTGACTCTTGTTTGATCTTCAGCCAGGAGGTGAATATTTGCTTCTTTAGGTAATTTAGGTGAAAATTGGCTTTTAACCGTGTCTGGCTTTCTTTAAAAAGCACACACATACAAAACCCTCCCACAGATTCCTCTTTGGACTCAACGTTTTGGCTAATTCTTTAAAGATAAAGTCATTCAGTAACTGAAGTGTGAAAAGTATTGCCATTGTCAGTTGGTGTGGGGTTGTGCCCATTCTTGTATCTTAATTTTAATGGGATTACTCTGGGCAGTGTGAGCGTGATTTGTTTCCTTGATATTGTCAACTCCCATTGATAAAATTATCTCAGTTCCACTTCACAAGTGATTTATATATTTCTTTTTTAACCTCTGTAAAAAGACAATCAAAATGGTTAGGCCTAAAATTAGACTACGACGAGCTGTGTTTTGGATCAAGGTTGTGCACGTCACGTTTTTTCCCCTGCTCTGTTTGACTCTTCCGCTCTTATAAGTAGGCAGGATATTGAAATGTACAAGAATTTGCTCTGGGGGTTTTGTTTTTGTAGGGTTATCCAAAATAACGTTAAATGAAGTATAAGATTGAGATGAAGGCGGTGAATAGTAATTTTTAAAGCAGGTTAGAACTTGTCAGCTTTGCCAGAAGCTCTGTGGCCTTTGTAAAACTCACTCATAGTCACTTCTATATACTTTATATATGTGAAAAAATATGTATAAATGAAAAACTTTATGTTCTGTTAAGGATATGGATTTAAGGCAGTTCTTTCATCCTTGGCTTTTAAATCTTTCTAGCTATTAGTTAGCCAGGAACACTGATTTACAGTGTGAAAAGTGAACCTCAAAATGTTTTTGACCTGTAATAATATATATGTAGGTCCTAAACTCACTTTCAGGTTTTGGTGGAAGAGTTTAACCTAAATTCATTGAGTTTTTTGTTTTCACTAACTAGTACGTTGTTACCTAAATTGCTTAGTAGTGAACTTCAATACTGTCAACATTTGGTAGTGTCGGTTGTCCTTAACTTCATGGGAGGTCTCATTGGCCTAAGGGGTTAAGGTGATATAGAAATGTTAGAGTGAAACTTGTCTGTGATGTTAGCTTCTCTGCCAGTTTTTTCTATAAGTAGATAACTTTTACTAAGCAAGAGCTCCTGGATATTCTGTTTCCCTTAGGGCCTTGATTCCTGGTTACCAATTATTGAAAGAAAGAGTTGTTCTGGACTTTGTGACATTGAATACTAACCTTGTGAACTCAAATTCATAAAGCTACAGTAAGTTTGTAGTTGGAGTATATCTACTAAACGAGTGAATAGGGTTCCTATGTTTCTCTGATGTTAACGATAGGCCCGTTTCCAAGACATGGTTAACAGTGGTGTATATTTCTTTTCAATTATACTTTTTAAAGAGAAAACTTAGAACTTGTTCATGTAGCTAAGGATAAACTTCCAATTATACTTTTTTAAAAAGAGAGAACTTGTTCAAATAGCTAATGATAAAATAAGTAGGTACTGTTAAATCCTTCCTATGTTTAATGTCAATATTGATTATTCTAATATTCAAATACAATGTTTCTTTTGGCTTTCTATATTTTATACTTCTGATGAAAACTTGAAACTGGGCCTTGTTTAAGGCTTTCTGATCGATTTGTTTTCAAAAGCTCTTTCAGTTAGTTGGAGGGCTAACTAATTTCAGACTTATCAAGAGGGAAGGTGTTAAGTTACAGATCTCAGTTGTGCCTCCTATCTTTGTACCTTGTAGAGGCAGAAAGAAGGAAAAAAATAGCTCCTATTGCCGTGAAGAAATACTGATTGTTTTCTTCTGTGATCAGAATTGAGTTTCACTACATCTTCATTTCAGGATCACTAACCTGATTAAGAGTAGTCAATGTGGACACTCACAGAGGATTTGCATTGTAGCTTACCATCTCTGAGGTAAGGTAGTGCTTATCCTAAGTGTCCCAGGTGGCCAGGAGTGGGAGACCTGGGTTGGAATTCTGGCTCTTGTGCTTGATCCTGGGCAAGATACACATTCTTTTCAAGACTTGTTTTTTTTTCATCTGTAAAATGGGAATAATATAATACACATTTCATAGGGTTATATGGGGCAAATGAGATAATGCAGGTAAAGTACTCAGCAAATGCAGTGCTTAAGTGCTTAATAAATGTTAGTTAACATTCCATTCTAAAATAAGTTTTACATTTAATTACTTCTACAGCAAATGTTCTCCTCCCAAACTTAGATTTAAGACTTCTGAAAGAGGTTAGAATCTCAGGACCAAGTTTCTGATACCATAACTATTAAGTTAAAAATTATTTTTCAGGGAAAAAAAAAGTTTCACCACTGAAATAAAATACAGCTTCTTTTGAATACAGGTTTCTCAGATTTAAAAAGTATGTATATTTCTCAGAGTATTTGGAAAGTGCTGAAAATTATTAAGGAACAGGACAAAATTCACTTTAGTTTCAGCCTTGAAGGATAACCATCATAACAGACTAGAATAGTGTTTTTAAAATTAAATTGCAAAAGGGCCGGCCGAGTGGAGCATTGGTTAAGAGTTGGCTTGGGACACCAGCTCTGAGCAGTAGGGCCCCAGTTTGGATCCCACATGAGGGCCAGTAATGCTGTGCCTTCTGCAGCTAAGATAGTGAACAACAGCTCAACCTGGAGCTGGGCTGCTGTGAGGTGGTGGTGTAGGCTGCAGTGGGGCTGCAGTGGGCTGCCATAAGCTACCATGAGTGGCCGGCAGCTGACGTGAGCTGCCAAGAGCCACTGTGAGTGGCCGTCCATTGGCGGGCAACTGATCTGCCTCAGCTGGGAAAAGTGCAGTGATAATACCAATATGGGCCAGTGAAGCAACGTCTTCGACAACTAGACTGAAGAACAAAAGGACAGCAACTTGTCTGTTCCCCTTCCCCGATTCCCCAACGCTGTTCCCCTCCCCAAATTCCCCCAATAAAATCTTAAAAAAAAAAAATTACATTGCAAGAGAAACATGCTTATAATAAAAGGTTCAAGCAAGTCAATTATTTAGAGTAAAAAGTGAAGATTAATTACTCTTTCAAGTCCCATTCCTTACAGGCACCCACTTTTTTATTTATTTATGCAATTAGAAATAAGTACCGTGTATAGTTTTTACCTTAATTTTTTTAAATAAAAAATTGGTCATTATATATTCTTTTCCATATCAGTACATATAGTTGTATATCATCTACTCAGCAGACATGAGGTATTCCATTATATGGTTGCACTTTCATGGTCATTTATGTTATTTTCAATTTTGAACAACTTAAACTGAAGTCTTTTTTTTTAAAAGATTTTTATTGGGGGGATGGGAACAGTGCTGGGGAATTGAGGTAAGGGGAACAGACAAGTTGCTGTCGTTTTGTTCTTCAGTCTAGTTGTGGAGGACATTGCTTCACTGGCCCAAGTTGGCACCATCATTGTGCTCTTCCCGGGCAAGGCAGATCAGTCGCCGGCTTCTGGATGGCCGCTCACGCTGGCTGCTGGCTACACACGGTAGCCCATGGCAACCCACTGCAGCAGGGGCTGCAGCCTACGCCATCGCCGGCGACTCAACGGCAGCCCAGCTCCAGGTTGAGCTGTTGTTCAACATCTTAGCTGTAGAGGGCAGTGTCACTGGCCCTCATCTGTGGGATCCGAACCGGGGCCCTCTGGCGTCCCAAGCCAGCTCTTAACCAACGCGTCACTGGGCCGGCCCTATATTATTACTTTTTAAAGTTAGTTTCAGGTGTATAAAACAACAATGATTAAATATAACCTCACAAAGTGATAACCCGACAAACCTACTATCCATCTGACACCATGCATAGCTATTACAATTCCTTTGACTATATTCCCTATGCTGTACTTTACATCCCATGACACATATACATACATATATGTGTAAATTATAGTTGACATTCAATATTAGTTTCAGGTGTACAGCGCAGAAGTTAGACATTTGTATAATCTATGAAGTGATCTCACTAATAAGTCTAGTACCCATGTGACATCCTATAACAGCGGTTCTCAACCTTCCTAATGCTGCGACCCCTTAATACAGTTCCTCATGTTGTGGTGACTCTCAACCATAAAATTATTTTCGTTGCTACTCTATAACTAATTTTGCTACTGTTATGAATCGTAATGTAAATGTCTTTTTGTTTTCCAATGGTCTTAGGTGACCCCTGTGAAAGGGTCGTTCGATCCCCAAAGGGGTCGCAACCCACAGGTTGAGAACCGCTGCCTTACAACCTTATTGACTATTTCCCATACTGTATTTCACATCACCATGACTATTTTGTAACTTGCAATTTGTACTTCCTAATCCCTTCATCTTTCTCACCTATCCACCATATCTTGTACTTTTAACAATTGTATTTTAATCGTAATCCTTCTGGACTTTTTTTGTTTGTGGTAAGAGGAAG